CCCATCACTCCAAGATGGGCAAATAAAAGAATCCCAGCACCTTAAGCTATACAAAACTTCAAAATGAAAATACAGCAAAGTAAAAAAGCAGATAAAGAGAGCATTTCAAAAAATGGTAATATATTAAATAAAAGTTGAGACAAAAATTGTTCCCATATTCTCAAGTAAATGAAAGAAAGCATTTTAAAATTTAGACACGTAGGTATCTTTTTCATCTGGCTAATTTTGTAAGTACCTTATATATGTATATATGTTTATTTATATACACAATGCACATATAGTTATATAAATATGTTTATATAATCATATAAATACATGTTAAGTACTGTATACATATTATCTTACCTAATCCTTAAATTGAATAGCCTTATTTCCATTTTACACATGAAGAAACTGAAGCACCTGAAATTGAAGTCAATTGATAATTATAACAATAAATATAAATGGGACAAATACACTATTCCAGTTTCTATTTGCTGGGTAACAAACCACCTTAAAACTTAGCAATATAAAAGCCATTTTATTTATGCTCACAATTCTGCAGGTTAGGAGTCAGGGCAGGCACAGACAGGAAAGCTTCTCTCTGCCCTACCACGTTGGCAGTCTCACTCTGCTGAAATAGGAGATAGCAGGGACAGCTCAACTGGTGCCACATGTGTGGGCCTTGATTCTTCTTGACATGGCATCCTCTGGGGATTCTCAGTAACCTCTGTAGATTTGGTGCATTTTTAAAAGCAGCTAACCATTATCCCATCAAATACGTAGGATGAACTGTTTATGTTCCCATTTAAACCTTCTGAGTCTATGAGGGTATTTAATTCCATGATATCCAGCAGGATTCTGGGGAAACAGTTTACTGGTTTACATCAGTCCTTCCTGAACCTCCAACAATGCAGTTCTTTCTCGACGAGTCTCCCAGTCCTGTAGCTCTGGATGGATGTTTAGATGAAGCAAGAGCTTTGATGTGAGAGAAATTACCAAGGTGACTTATTTTACTGCCAGTCTAGTAGTGATCCTAGCACCTGGGATGGTATGGGTGGAAAAGCTAGGAGCTGGACAGCACTTTCTCTCCCTCTCCCTCTCTTTCCCTCTTCCTCTCTCTCTCTCTCTCCCTCCAAGTGGCTTCTTGACATGGCTATCTTGGGTTCATCATAGAATTGTGGCCTCAAGGTAGTTGGACTTCTCACATAATGGCTGCCTACCCTCATCCCCTTTCAAGTGAGCACCAAGATACCAAAGCAAAAGCACCAAAGTTTCTTCAATCTAGCCTTAGAAGTCATGCAGTATCAAGTATCCTGCATTCCATTGATCAAAACAGTCATAGAGCCTGTCTAAATTCTGAGGGAAGGGAACCATAGACCCCAACTCTTGAAGAGAGGACTGTCAAAGAAGTTGTGGCCATCTTTAATCTGCCACACTTACCTTTTACAAGAAAAAAGTCACTCAGAAGTTAGGAAAGGCTGCAATGCTCTAGAGGAAACCAACTGAAGAAAATAAACAATGCACTCCTAAATAACCAATGGGTCAAAGAAAAAATCACAAGGGAAACTAGAAAATACTTTGAAGTGAGTGAAACAAAAACACAACATACCAAAACTTATGGGATACAGCTAAAGCAGTACTTAGAGGGAAATGTCTAGCTATAAATGCTAGAAAAAGAACAAAGATCTGAAATCAATAACCTAACCTTCCACTTGCAAACCCCAGTGGTAGATAATCCCCAAGAAAATAAGAAAAATAAGAGCCAACCCAACTGAAAACAAGCAGAAGCAAGGAAATAATAAAGATTAAAGCAGAAATAAGAGAAACAGGGAATAGAAAAACCAATGGGGAAAACCAATGAAACCCAAAAGCTGGTTCTTTGAAAAGGTCAATAAAGCTGACCAACCTTTAGTTAGACTGACTAAGAAAAAAGAGGAATGACTCAAATGACTAGAATCAGAAATGAAAATGGGGACATAACTAACAACCCTGAAGAAATAGAAAGTGTTGTAAAGGAACACCATGAACAATTACATACCAACAAATTGTATAACTTAGATGAAATGGACAAATCCCTGGAAAGACACAAACTGCTGGAGCTGACTCAAGAAGACAACATGAATAGACCTATAACAAATGAAGAGATGGAACTAGTAATGCAAAAATTACCCAGAAAGAAAAGTCCAGGCCCACCCAAGCTTTATCACTGAATTTTGCCAAACATTTAAAAAATTAATACGAATTCTTCACGACTCTTCCAAAGAACAGAAAAACCACAGGAACATTTCTTAACTCATTTTATGAGGTCACTATTACCCTGATGCCAAAACCAGAAAAGACATTACAAGAAAAGAAAACTACAGACCAATATCTCGTACGAATATAAACAAAAAAATTCTCAGCAACATACTAGCAAACTAAATCTGCAACGTATAAAAAGAGTTATACACACACCCATGGCCAAGTGGGATTCGTCCCAGAAATGCAAGCTTGTTTCAACATCTGAAAATAAATGAATATAATACATCATATCAATAAAATAAAAAACAAAAGTCATATATTATTCTCAATAGAACCAGAAAAAGCTTTTGACAAAATTCAACACATTTTCACGATAAAAAAAAACTCAACAAACCAGAAAGCAGAAGAGAACTTCCTCACTTAATAAAGTGCATCTACAAAAAACTTACAGCTAAGTTTGTACTTGATTGTGAAAGACTTAATGTTTTCTCCCTCGTATCATCAAAAATGATACCTTTTGTGCTTCAAAGGACACTATTAAGAAAGTAAAAATAACTCAGTGAACTGGAGAAAATACTTACAAATAATACGTCTGATAAAAGACTTGTATTCAGAATACATACCCTTCTAACTCAGTAATAAAGACAAATAACCCAATTTTAAAATAAGTTAAGAAGATTAAATAGACATTTCTCCAAACCAGAGATACAAATGGCCCATAAGCACATGAACAGATATTCGGTATCACTTGTCAGGGAAACACAAATCAAAACCACAAGGAGATACCACTTCACACCCACAAGGATTTCTAGAAATCCAAATGTTCATCAACTGACAAATGGATAAACCAAATGTGGTCTGTCCATACAATGGAGTATTATTCCACCATAAAAAAGAATAAGGCATTGATACATACTACAACATGGATGAACCTTGAACACATTATACTGAGTGGAAAAAGCCAGACACAGAAGTCTGTATATTACATAATTTCATTCATATAAAAGGTTCAAAACAGGGAAATCTATGGAGACAGAAAGTAAATTTGTGGTTGCCTAGGTCCATGGGGAAGGGTGAAGCTAAGGAGGTGGTAACTAAGTGTTGGGGGTGGGGGTGGTCCTTGTTCTTAGAGCTCCCAAGATGGTGGCAAGCCTCTTGTTCGCTAACCTGGAGTTCTTGGCCTCACGGATTCCCAGGAATGGAATCTTGGACCATGTGGTGAGTGTTATAGCTCTATCAGAAGCCGTGGGTCACGGAAGAGAACCATGGAACCCAGTGACTAGTGTTCAGCTCAATTAGGACAAACCTAGGCACTTAGCCGTGTAGGAACAATGACAAGCCTTTAGCCCGATCAGGAGCGGCAATGGGTGCCTCGCTGGGTCAGAAGCACAGCGGACACCCTGCTGGATCCAGAGGGGTGGAAGTCAGCAGTGGGTCTGCAAAGGCGGCAAACAGCAGTGGTGGACAGCGAGCGAAAGCTCAGCTCGAGCCGTAACAAACACGGACCAGAAGAGTGTGCAGTTGCAAGATTTAATAGAGTGAAAACAGAGCTCCCATACAAAGGGTGGGGACCCAAAGCAGGTTGCCGTTGCCTGCTTGAATGCATGGGTTTATATCCCGATCATTGTCCCGCCCCCTGTGCTTTCAGGCAATAGATGACTGGCTATTTCTTTACCTCCTGTTTTTGCCTAATTAGCATCTTAGTGAGCTCTCTTTACTACCTGATTGGTCAAGTGTGAGCTAAGTTGCAAGCCCTGCGTTTAAAGGTCACCTTCCCAGCTATGCTTAGGGATTCTTAGTTGGCCTAGGAAATCCAGCTAGTCCTGTCTCTCATAAGGAGGATCAAAATGTTTGAAAATGAACCATGACGACAGTTGCACAACTCTGTAAATGTACAAAAAACACGTAATTATATTATTTAAAGGGGTGCATCTTAGTCTGTTCAAGCTGCTATACCAAAATACCAACAACTGGATAGCTTGAAAACAACAGAAATGTATTTCTTACAGTTCTGGGAAGTCCAAAATCAAGGCACTGGTAAACTCAGTGTCTACTAGGGGCCCACTTTCTGGTTGATACATGGCACCTTCTAGCTGCGCCCCCACATGGTGGAAAAGAGGAAGAAGAAGCTCTTTGGGGCCTCTTTTAAAGGGGTACTAGTCCCATTCACCTAATCACCTCCCAAAGACTCCACCCCTAACACCATTACCTTGGTGATTAGGTTTTCAATATATGAATTTCAGGGACAGACAGACATTCAGACCACAGCAGGCTAAGTTGTATGAGATATCAGCTTAGACATATGTATGTGAATTATATCTCAATAAAGCCATTATTTTTTTAAAGTCATAGAACCTTTCCAGATTTGTGGGGAGCTGGGAGTTGACCCCACCTCCTTACAGAAGGAATGTCAAAGACTTTGAGGCCATCTTTAATCTGCCACACTAAACTTTTTAAAGAAAAAAAATCACTCAGATTCAACCTTCTTGAAAATCAGTACTGTGATTTAAAAATTACAGCCCCTGTCGGGCGTGGTGGCTCACGCCTGTAATCCCAGCGCTTTGGGAGGCTGAGGTGGGCAGATCACCTGAGGTCAGGAGTTCAAGACTAGCCTGGCCAACACAGTGAAACCCCATCTCTACTAAAACTACAAAAATTAGACAGGCGTGGTGGTGGGCGCCTGTAATCTCAGCTACTAGGGAGGCTGAGGCAGAAGAATCGCTTGAACCAGGGAGGCAGAGGTTGCAGTGAGCTGAGATCGCACCACTGCACGCCAGCCTGGGTGACAAGAGCGAGACTGCCTCAAAAAAAAATAATAAAAGAAATAAAAATAAAAATAAAAATTACAGCCCTTAAACAAGGCTCAGCAAACTGCCTTTGGTCCAAATCCAGCCTCACTTCCTGCTTGTGTAAATAAAGTTTCACTGGAACACAGCCACACCCACTGTGGCTTTCTCACAATACAGCAGTGTTGAGTATGTGTGTCAAGGACCGAATGGCTCACAAGGCCTAGAATATTCACTATCTGTCCCTTTACAGGAAACACTGCTGATTCCTGCCCTAAAACAAAACAAACAAAAAAACTCAGAAACGCTGAAAGTAAAAGAGTGAGCAAAATGTGTGGCAGATTGAAAAAAAAAAACACAAGTCTCTGCCCACATGAAACCTTGCAATGACATCATCCCTCACCGGGTTCTCCTCCAGCACCTTCACTGCCCCCACCAGCAGCCACAGTGGGGTGGGAGCAGCTCCAGACGTGAAAGTGCAGTGCTTGGCACAAGGCGGGGACGGGCGTCTGTGCATCAGTAGAACGATGGGCCTCGCCCAACCGTCAGGCAGACCCCTTCAGCCAGTGGTCAGAAGCCCACCCTACCTTCCGCAGTGTGGTTCCAGCCCTAAGTCCAGTTACAGCCTGTCGTGAATTGGGTTCCCCAGAAGCGGTCCCTGGCCTGGGGATGACTGCAGGTTTGCAAGTGAGAGCACAGCTGTGGACAGGGTGCGCCCTCCCGGGGAGCTCCCGGGTGCTGCCAGCACTCCTGGATGTGGCCCCAACTTTCCCACACCCGGCATTGTCTTCACATCGCCTTCTCCTCATGTTTGTGTCTGTCCTCTTCTGTCTCTTACAAGGACATTTGCCATTGGATTCAGGGCTCACCTTCATTCAAGATTATCTTAAGATCCTTAATTTTATCTTGCAGACCCTTTTGCCCATGAGGTCACATCCTCACGCTCTGGATACACATCACTCTCGGGGCCGCCATTCTAGCCGCCTCACCTGCGAGCAGCAGCCTGGACCTAGAAGCTGTGTCCCCTGTGCTGCCCAGTGGAGTCCAGCACCTGGCACCCAACACCCAAACAGGGTGACCACCAACCTGGCTGAGGAGACTGTCCTCAAGATGATCACAGCACATCAGGCAGGGCTCCTGAGCCAGCCCCGCAACACTGCCTCGCTCCCAGTACGGCCAGAAGCGTAGTTGAGGCCAACCCCTGAAGCAGCCAAGGCGTCCTCTAAGCCCAGAAGTGCCAGGGATCGGGGGCTGCCCAGTTCCAGACAGGGTCATTACACTCCCGACCCTCGGAGGGGCCCCCCGCCTCCCAGCTCCAGACAGGGCCGTCACACTCCCAATCCACAGAGGGCCCCCCTATGCCTCCCAGCTCTGGACAGAAGCGACTGCCCAGCTTCACTGACCTCCACGCCGCTGCCTGGGGTCTTGCTCGAACACAAGAGAACACGGGTCTCGTTGAGGGCTCCTCTGTCCCACGTCTCCTGCTCCTGGACACCCAGGCCTGCCCTCACCACTGCCGCTGGACACCGGGCAGGGGTCCTGGCCACTATTCTGGAGGGCCGGTCTGATGTTGCAGGTGCAGCCACTTCACTGTTTGTCCCTCACAGTGTGCCAGAGGCCCTCCTCCCTGCAAGAGCCGCTCCCAGGGCCCAGCCCTCCCCTGAGAGGTGCTGATGAGAATGGAGTGTGGAACCATCTGCCAGCCAACCCCTGGTGGCCTCTTGGGGGTGTTCTGCCCCATGGGGCCATGCATGGTGTGGCCCTTCCCAGTGCTGTCATGTCTGAATGTGGCCCTGCAGACCTGCCCCCACTGGGCCTGAGCACATCCCCCGGGGCCTGATCCCAGGAGCTCCGGGAGCAGCTCGCACACACCTCCATGGATGCCTCCCACAGCGCGAGGGACAGGAAAGGCCAGCTCCATGTCCCACATCTCACTCTTCAAGCTGGGAAAACGATGCTGTTACCTTGGGAGGTGAGACCCTCCAGATGGGAACCTTGAGGCTGGGAGCCGGTGTGTTCCCGGAATTCGGGGGAATGTTTCATTCCCTGCGTACAGTGTCTGGACTTACATATCACCTCCTCCCAGGCACCCAGGCATCACTTCACAACCCCATGCTCAGCAAGCTCCAGAGAACACTCCTCAATAAACTATGAGTGTTAATGCCGGATGCAATAAGATGTGATTAAATTTTACACAAGGGAGGGGTGTAGGTACTTCAGAATCGTAAAAACAGCTTTTCCACAAAACTGTCAGCATTAGACACAAATATGGGAGCAAAGGGGCACTCGGGCTTATTCAGATTGCTCAGTTTGCTTATACTAAGTGTGCACAACATAAAAAACACCTGCTCCACTTTTAAAATCGGTCTTCTCCGTTGTGCACAGGAAAGTTATAGTTTGCAGAGGTTTTTTTGTATTTTAATAATGCCACCCATTTTGTGGTGTTTAAAGAGTGAGAAGATACAAGGCTTATTTTAAAAGTAAAAGTATCTAGGCTCCTCCCAAAAGAAATCAAGATGAAAAAACACCCGAAGGAGGGCAGCCAAGTGAGGAGACCTTCCGGAATCTTCTGTGCTGACCCCCACTTCAGCAGGCCGTGGCAGAGAAGGTCCTGGGGTGGCGGGGAGGTGGAGGGCGGGCACAGCCCCTGCCTCTCTCCGCTCCCTGAGGCGCCCACCTCCAGAGACCCCTTTCTAGTAGGTTAAATGGGTGCTCGCTCTCCACCACCTGCCCCAGCAAGCAAGCCGCAAAGCCGGCACCAGGCAGGCCCACCCAGCTCTGTTAGCGGAAACTGAGGAGAACCGACTGCCCCAACCAGAGCGAACTAACAGAGACCCTCGGAGGGGCAGCAGGTCAGAGGTCAAGTGCAGGGGCCCTGCACCCACTCCCTCACTGTGGGACCTCGGGGTGTGACTGAAGCCACGGACTCACTGAAGCCACTTTCTCACGTAAAAACTGGGGACCTGGGTCCTACCTCCAGGGTGGCTGAGGGAAGGGCCTCAACACGGCTGCGGTTACTGCTGTTCAGAGATGCAGCTGACGAAACACACTCTGGGAAGAGCAGGCCAGCTTAGGGATGAAACCAGGGTGGGCTCCTGCAGAAGACGGTGGAAGGAACAAAAGCATTTAATCACCCGCCCCAGAAGCCCAGTGCAGGGAGCAGCAGGGACCTTTCTGTGGTTTCTTTTTTTTTTTTTTTTTTTAATTTATTTATTATTATTATACTTTAAGTTGTAGGGTACATGTGCATAACGTGCAGGTTTGTTACATATGTATACTTGTGCCATGTGCTGTGCTGCACCCATCAACTCGTCATTACATCAGGTATAACTCCCAATGCAATCCCTCCCCTCCCTTCCCCCTCATGATAGGCCCCGGTGTGTGATGTTCCCCTTCCTGAGTCCAAGTGATCTCATTGTTCAGTCCCACCTATGAGTGAGAACATGCGGTGTTGGTTTTCTGTTCTTGTGATAGTTTGCTAAGATGATGGTTTCCAGTTGCATCCATGTCCCTACAAAGGACACAAACTCATCCTTTTTATGGGCTGCATAGTATTCCATGGTGTATATGTGCCCACATTTCTTAATCCAAACTGTCTCACTGATGGACATTTGGGTTGATTCCAAGCTTTGCTTGCTATGTGAATAGTGCTGCAATAAACATACGTGCGCATGGTGTCTTTATAGCAGCATTAATTTATAAATCCTTTGGTATATACCCAGTAATGGGATGGCTGGGTCATATGTACATCTAGTTCTAGATCCTTGAGGAATCCCATACTTGTTTCATAATGGTTGAACTAGTTTACAATCCACCAACAGTGTAAAAGTGTTCCTATTTCTCACACCTCTCCCAGCACCTGTTGTTTCTTACTCCTTATACGAAAATTAATTCAAGATGGATTAGAGACTTAAATGTTAGGCTAATACCATAAAAATCATAGAGGAAAACCTACGGTAAGTTACATTCATGGACATAGGCTATGGGGCATAAGACTTCATGTCTAAACACCAGAAAGGCAACAGCAGCAAAACGCCAAATTGGACAAATGGGATCTCATTAACTAAAGAGGGCTTCTGCACTGCCAAAAGAAACTACCATCAGAGTGAACAGGCAACCTACAGACATGGGACGAATTTTTGCAAATTTACTCCATTCTTGACAAAGGGCTCCATACCAGGAACCTACAAAGAACTCAACAAATTTACAGAAAAAAACAATACAACCCCCATCAAAAAGTGGGCAAAGGATATGAACAGACATTTTCTCAAAAGGAAGACATTCAATACAGCCAAACAGACACATGTAAAAATGGCTCGTCATCCTACGGCCATCGAGGAAAATGCAAATCAAACCACAGATGAGATGCCACCTCAACACCAGTTCGATATGGCCAATCAGCAGGGGGACTTCAAGGCATCAATCCCGAAGAACACAGAGCCAGGAGAGGCTGCGGCCGCCGGGGCTGCACAAGCGGAACTCCCAGCAGATTCAAGAAAGCTGACTCCTCAGCCAGGAGCCCACGCGGCCCAGAAGTGGCCCGGCCACCTGCGGGAGGCCTGGGAGGTGCAGGCGCGAGTGGCTTCACTGCCTCTGGAGGTCAGGAAGGAGGCCACGCGGAGAGGTGGTCAGAGGCCTGTGTAAGGCGCTTCAGGCTCGCTCTGTCCTGACTGTGTCCAAGCAGAAGATCAGCTGTTTCGTTCCCTGGAGAGGGTGACACTGAGGGTCAGCGGACAGGGCGAGCAGAGTAAACAGACCTTACACACACTGTGCCCAGACCCGCACCTCCAATCCAGCGGGCTCCCCCGGGCTGGGTCAGACTCGCGCCTCCAATAAAGAAAGACCTAAAGAGGTAGCTACATCCACAGCCCTCCAGCCCCAGGCGCTGCTCTAACACCCCACCCAGAACAGCACCCCTACCTAGGGTGGCCAGGGCAAATACAGGACCCAGATAAATGTGGATTTTAGATCAACAACAAATCATTTTTTAGTATAAGTATGCCCCATGTAATATTTAGAACATACTTACACTAAAGAAAAATCCAAATATAATTGGGCTTTCTGTAATTTTTGTCATTGTTAAATCTGGCAACTTTACCCCTACCCAACACACACACACACACACACAGAGACACAGACACACACACACAGACACCACCAAACAGGACACACACACACAGACACACACACACACAGAGACACACACACACAGAGACACAGACACACACACACACAGATACACACACACAGACACAGACACACACATACACAGACACACACACACAGAGACACACACACACAGACACACACACAGAAACACACACACACAGAGACACAGACACACACACACGCAGACACACACACAGACACACATACACAGAGACACACACACACGCACACACAGCTTATACATGTTTTTTTCCCATCTCTCTCTTAGGTGAGAGCAGACAGCCAAAGAGCACCCCAGTTTTGAGAAAAGCTCTGACAGAGAACAAAAGCGGGGCCAGGAGCAAGTTACAGGAAAGACGAAGCTGGAAGAAAAGCAGAGGCATTTTTTCCAGCATCAAAGGGCTCAGTGACGCCCTGTGGGCGGCGTGCAAAGAGACCCACTCAGAGACTCGTCCTGTGGCAATTCAGGTTCCTGGGTGCAAACACAAACTCCTACAGTTTCCAGAGAAAAACAAGGAGGTTTCACAATGGATTGGGAACGAGGAAGATACTGGGACCTCTCAACCACAACCTCAGAAGCCAGAAACCAGCCAGGCACGGTGACTCATGCCTGTAATCCCAGCACTTTGAGAGGCTGAGGCACGCAGATTGCCTGAGCTCTGGAATTTGAGACCAGCCTGGGCAACATGGCAAATCCCTATCTCTCCTAAAAAAAAAAAAAAATACAAAAAAATTAGCCAGGTGTGGTGGTGGGCCCCTGTAATCCCAGCTACTTGGGAGGCTGAGGCATGAGAATTGCTTGAACCTGGGAGGTGGAGGTTGCAGTGAGCCAAGATTGCACCACTGCGCTCCAACCTGAACGACAGAGTGAGATTCTGTCTCAAAAAAAAAAACAAAAAACAAAAACGCCAGAAACCAAGGAGCAATGCCCGCAAAATTCCAAGGGAAATGATCTCCAATCTGGAACTCTAAGCCCAAACTGTAGAAAAGAAAGATATTTTCAGAACTGTAAGATCTGCCCAAGTCACCCCCTATGCATCCTTTCCTTTCTCAAGAGGTTCCTGGAGGATAGGAGCCGCCAAAGAGCCAACAGGTCAACCAGCAGAGAGGGAACCTGGGGGGCGGAATGGGGACCACTCAGCCCCAGCCAGCAGCAGAGGGGCTGCGGGGGGCAGGGACATCCCCAGCCAAGACCACCACCCAACAGCCTCCTTCCCTGGAGCAGGGTCCATGGCATCAGGAGTGCACTCTTCACGAAGAGGAAACGGACAAATGGTTTGTAAGGACATTTATACAATTATGGGAGAGGCTGGGTTTGTTGTGGTGATAAACACATAAAAACAATGCAAATGAAAACATAATTAACTCCAGAGAAAACAAAAAGTTGTTCAGGTAAGGAGAAGTAATATTATTCTAATGGCTTGGCTGTGAATAGTAAACACCAACTATTCATCTTCGTGAAATGGTGAGATGCTGCTGGGAAAACGGAGGGATGGGGTGTGTGTGTGTGTCTGTATGGGTGCATGTGTGTGTATATGTTAGAAAGAGACACACAGAGTGGCCGGGCATGGTGACTCATGCCAGTAATCCTGGCACTTTGGGAGCCTGAGGCAGGCAGATCACCTGAGGTCAGGAGTTCAAGACAGCCTGGCCAACATGGTGAAACCCCGTCTCTACTAAAAATACAAAAATTAGCCAGGTATAGTGGCATATGTCTGTAATCCCAGCTACTTGGGAGGTTGAATGAGGCAGGAGAATTGCTTGAAGCCAGGAGGTGGAGGTTGCAGTGAGCCGAGATTGCGCCACTGCACTCTAGCCTGGGCAACGAGAGCATAGCTCCATCTCAAAAAAAAAAAAAAAAAAAAAGAAGAAGAAGAAAGAAAAAAAGAAAGAGACACACAAAGAGACAGATAGGACAGAATGTGGGTCAAGGGTGAAGAGAAAACTGGAGCTTGCCCTGAAGGAAGCCAACAGACGATGCCCAAGGTGAAAAATCAGAAGTGGCAACATGAACATGTTATTCTAAGATATCCAGGCAAACATGAAAATAATTGGCTGAAAGACTAAAAGCGTTTGCCCCTGGAGAAGGAACTGTAGGACATCCCTGTGGAAGGGCTGCTGTTTTGCCTTTAAATTCTCTGCATGTATAACTGATTAAAAGAACAAGTAAATGTTTAAAGAAATAAAGTTTTCAAAAACGTAGGCAGGTGTGGAGTGAGAGCGAGGATAAGGATTGAGCCTTTTCAGCAACGGCTATGATTTAATATATGCCTTGGCAGGAAAGTGCGAACGTCTGGGGGTGGGTGTTGGCAATTGCACTGGGGAGGGCATCAGCCCTGGACCTTCATCTCACACACACACAGCCCTAGCACCCTAAATCACACAGATTCGCAGTGAAAACCGTTTGTAAGTACTGGCAGCTTCAGGCCAAAACCTCAGCAGCCTCCCTAAGTTCCTCTTATGTGGAAGGCTGAGGCCACCTGTTCCAGTTTCTTTTCGCTGCTGTAACAAATTACCACAGTTTAGTGGCTTAAAACAACAGGAATTTATTTTCTTACAATCTGAAGCTCAGAAATAAAAAATCAGTCTCGCTGGGCTGCAATCAAGTTGCCAGCAGGGCTGGATCCTTGTGAAGGCTCCGAAGGAGAATGCGTTGCCCTGCCTGTCCCAGCCTGGAGGGCCTCCGCAGGATAATCTCCCCATCCCAGAATCCTTGACTCAGTCACATCTGCAAAGACCCTCGCTATGATCCCACTGTCTGTGTCCTCCCAGAATTCATGTGCTGAAACATAAACTCCCAGTGTGATGGTGTTAGGAGCCAGGACTCTGGGAGGTGACAAAGTCACAAGCGTGGAACCCCATGGATGGGATTAGAGCCTCATTCAGGGGGCCCCAGAGCACTGCACTGGCCCTTCCACCGTGTGAG